AAAAATTGCAATAATATCGTATCGTGCGTTAAGTATTGTGATAATATCGTATCGTGGGATGTATAGTGATTCCCACCTCTAGTAATTATTAACTAAAAGTTATGAATTCTAAACTGTATAAATACAAATACAGCTTATATAGCGCTTTTCTACTCACTCACAGTGCTTTACACAACGTGTGCATTCACCCAAGCACATTTTCTTTCTAGCTAACATTCACACACACTCATACTCCGATGGATGCATCGGTGAACATCCATCGGTGGGATTAATATCTCGCTCAAGGATGTTTGGCATGCAGACCAGGGGAAGCCAGGAATCGAACCACCAACCTTCCGATCAGTGGATGACCTGCTCTACTGCCTGAGCTACAGCCACTCCTATTACATACCTTATAATTCTGCAGTTGTTTATAACTGTTTTTATTGTTTTTAATGTGTTCTACTGATCTGTTCTGTGGATGTCTGGTCTCTGCTGTGAATAGAGACAAATGTGTCTTTACTGAGGATAAACTGTTCACACTCATAAACGTGGTGTCTGTGTTTCAGGAGGCAGAGCAGCTCATCCTCTGAGGTTGTTGGTTCCTGGCAGCTCCAGCCTGCATTCAAACCCATCCTGAACCTGAGGTGCTCCTGATGTGTTCATGTTTTAGATTTGTTGGTAAAGGAATAATCTGCTGGATGCATCGATGTCTGAATCTAGATGGTTAATGGTTACAGCTGAGTGACACATGATGGAGTAAAGCACACCTGTTCACAGGTGTCATGACTCTGAGGTCATTCTGACTCGTTCACAGTAGGAACAGATGAATGAGGCGGGGCGTGCTGCCCTGAGGAGACCTGGTCCAGGTGTCTCAGTGTGGAGAAGCTGTCACAGGTGAGCTCAGGTTACCTGATGTAGAAGGTGCGGCTGTTCCTCAGACTGCCGGACGAGCTGTTCATCATCTGCTCCCTCAGGTCGTGGATCTTTGCCTCGAAGCGACTGTACTCTGAAAACACACACACTCAGAGTTCAAACAGG